TCCTCTTGCACCCAGCCAAGCTTTGTTCTATTTCACAGTTCAGGGAGGCATGAGAGAGCACATCTCCTCCCATGTGTTTATAAATAATTTGGTTATAATGATTCAATTCTTCCACTGAATTGTGCAAGGCTCTGTGGGGAAGTATCACCCTACCAAAGATGACCTACCAGTGTTTAACCCAGGCCTGTGCTAGCTCAGGCTTCCCACCAGGAAATGAAGAGCTGACCTCACTGTTTCTGGGATAGTGTTTCAAAGTGCTTCTGAAATCACATTCAGATCTTCCCTGTTCAGGGAGGGGTCGAAAGAATTTTGTTCTCTTAGTAGCACGTCTCTTGCCATCTGGTGGTTTCCAGTGTCTTGTTTCTTGATCTCAGTCACTGGGAAAAAAGACATTTTCTACTTTGTTTTCCAAGGTATTTCTGCAATGTTTTTGTGTTGGGGTTTTTTTGTTGTTGTTTTGATGTTTTTATGGCCAATATTGAGTTTTTAGGAGCTTCTATTTCTTTATGCTTTCCTTTCCTTGTTTCTTCAGAAATTTGGATGTATGTGATCTTAGAAGTAGTTTTCTCTCACGAAGTACTTGAGGGACATGTTCATCAGAGGTAGAGTTGCTTGTCTGTCATTGACTCAACCAAATTTGATGGAGATGGCCAGCTAGCGGGCCACACAGCGGGCATCTGTGTGACTGGCACAGTGATTATCCTCTCTCCATCTGTAATTCATAGGGTAAGGGAAACCAACAAAAAGTAATGAGCAATTCGGAGAAGCAATTCATACTACCAAAGACGAATAGATGAAGTTGGGAAGTCCTCAGATTTCATATGGGTTGGAATGTTACTGTCTGCTTATAAAGAAAGATTGTATGATAGTCCTTGACTGAATCAGATCATGCCCGGCGACCATTTTAATTTGTGATATGCTAAATGAGCCTTGATTCATGACATTATTAGCAATGCAGGGCTTCAGATGGCTGCTGGAAATTCTCCTCTATAAACTGTTTCAAGGTGGCAGAAAGGAGTTTTGTTTTTATTTCCAAACTGGTTTTGTTTTTATTTCCAGTATGAAGTGAAAGCTCCTGTTCCTTCAGCATGCTTCAGGAATATCTGCAAGCAAATGGCAAAGATGCATGAAGCTATATATGATCTCCTTCCTGAGGAGCAAACTCAGGTGAATGTTATTTTTGAGATTCATGTAACACCTCCCTTGCAAATGCACACCAACTCTGTAACAAAAGAGACTTCTGCTTTATGTAGGGGGGGGAAAATATCTTGTTTTGAGTCTTTGCAAAACCCACATGTGAAAGGGGTTGGCAGTAGTCATGCAGACAGCTTGGTCTGAACTGAAGTAAGTGTTTGGATGTGCAGGAAGACTGATGAGACATGCAAAACAGACAGACTGATTCCAGCATTTTGAGCTGCATTTTAATGTCTAGAGAGGTGAATTCAGGAGTTAGCGCTGAAACTATACACAAATGGCAACACTTTGGGGCTCGAGTACAGCGCTTTTAGGGAATTCTTCTGTAATGCTGCTCAGACCTAGTGGCTTTCAAAGGTCCCTAAATGTATTATGCAGCCAAATTGTACCAGATGTGCCTTTTCAGTATTTCGCTGCAGTTATTGCTACTGCAGAGTTGTAAATCTAAGGACAGAAACGACCAATCCAGTCACTGAATACACTAAGTTGTAGTTTCTCTTTTACACTAAATTAAATGGTCCCTTCAAACTCTTTTACACACTTTCTCTTGGAAAAAAAGACTTAAGTAGTTATAGCACAGGAAAGAAATTAGTTATCTTCTCGCCTTAATACAAGTTGCTGGATGCTTCAGACAACAGGGAGGAAAAATTCATGCTTCAAAGAACGTGTCCTTTAAGTGCAACACACAACAAGTAGGTGAGGGTGTATACTGTCCTGTATGTTACATATTGTATGTGGCCAGAAAGATTAGGAGGCCAAAGGACTGGCAGAAGGGGAAAAAAAATAATCACATGAATTGCAAAAACAAACCCAAAGGTTAGTGATTAAAGGTGTTTGCAATGTATTTCCTTTCTGTATGCAGTGATGCAAGCAAGGGGATGGTCCCTTACTCTGGTTCTGTGGTTTCTTCTAGATGTTGTTTTTACGAATTAACGCAAGTTACAAACTTCACCTGAAGAGGCAGCTTGCTCACCTAAATGTAGTCAATGATGGAGGACCTCTGAATGGGTACGTTTGAGCACTTGGTTGGGTTTTTTTTTACTGCTTAATTTAAATAAGCAGACTCTGTCTTCTGCAGGAAAGTTGTGATTGCAGAATGCAGCCATGCTCCATGTTTTAGTGTGCCCCGTTTGGAGCTTTCTTACAGTAAAGGACATGACTTGTGCCTTTCCATAGGAACTAGGAATGCAGTCAGCATGGTAATAGATTGGGAGTTGGGCATCATCTTACTGGAAACCTGCTATAGGTATCCTCAGTTTGTGGATTGCTTTTTCTCCTTTTGTGTGACAGCAGTAGCCACAGTTTAATTTACAAGGACTGTGTGATTCATGAAGCAGTTTTGAAATGTGGATGATGACTCATGGCACTAGCAAAGCAAAAATAGGAAAAAGTGGTATTTCATCTGTGCAATGGGCAGCTTCTGTACAGAAATTGTTTTTACAGCAGAACTAAATTTGAAACAGAGATTATGCCCACAGAGCTTCTCCCCTTTCCTGCCCCAGCCCAGCCCTCTATCACCAAAAGAGGTCAGTGGTACCTCTCCCGAGAGAGTGTGGTGGCTGTGTCTGCTGTCCCATACCTCCCGGGAAAGTGCACAGCCTCCTGCAGTCTGAATCCTGTTCTAAGTTGGATTGTCCCCTGAAACAGTGGGGTTCTTAATGACCCAGGGATGTTTATTTGCCATGTAGTAAGGGTGAAATTCAGTCGGCCTACCCACATGCAAGAAAGCATTGTTTAGGTTGATGAAGCCAGAGAAGGAAGTTTATAAATGTTTCAAATGTTGCTGGAATGAAGAAGAGTTTTGCTTCTGTCCAATTTATTCTTACTTGTCCTGCTTAGACTCTTTCACAGAGTACAAGGATGAATAAGCTTGTCTGGAATGGTTTTCTGTGCTTGTGGTGTATTCAGAAGATGACATCAAGTTGCCTTTGGTGCTTACTGAGGTGTTTGGATGAGGAGTGAGGCCGCAGCGACCCCAGCTGAAATGAGAGCCCCCAGGCTGTGTTCGGGAGAGTTTCACACTTGGGTCTCTAGCACAGTCCCAAACAGTGTGCCCTGCGCTCCTTGCGCTGCTCTTGCCATTTTTGTTTGATGCATGTGGTTGGATGGCCTAAATGGGTCCTTTGGATAGGAGGGCAGGGCGGGTGTTCCTCGTGACATCCTGCAGGCATTTCCCAGCAGCTGGAAACAGTAATGCCCTGCATCCGTGTCTCCCCTGGCAGCAGTTACATCCTTCAGAACAAAGCTCTCTGGGAGCACCTAGCTGGGGCCCTTTGAGAAGGGAAACATCAAATGCTGGATTTCACTTGCTGTTTTTTCAGCGGTCTTCATTTGACCTACTTTTGAATGTGCTTTTCTGATCCTCATCCCATCTTAAACTGCCTGTTTCGGTAATAATAGTAAAAATCCAGGTCTGTGAATCCTGGTTAATTTTTTTACTATGAAAATACAACTTCTATGCTTACATCTCGTTGCTTCCTAACTGGAAGGGTGATGGTGTTTCTGTCATTCCCTGTTATGTTTCAACAACCTATGAGGGATTTTAGCTGTGTATAAACTGTTACAAACAATACTGCTGTTTGGTTGCTTTTACATTAAGCTTGTAGAATATAGATGCTAATGTTGTAATTAATAATTAATAATCTAAGTTGTAGGGGTTTAAGTCAAGCTAAGCCTGGGATTGCAACAAGATAATAGAAGTTTTAGATGCCCAGTTCCTTCTAGTCGTTTGATCTCCCTTCTCTATAACTAGTTTTACACCTAGCAGTAGTCATGTCCTGTCACTCCTGTAAAATAAACCACCTCTGTAGCATCAAGTTCTGAACTGATACTTACAAGATCTAACCAAGACATCATATTTTAAGGTGCATTGGTGTAATTGTGCGCCTGATTTGTAAACAAATGCTGATTATTTTTCTGAATACCCCAGATGGATGGGATGGGTTGAGGTGCTAATCGTGTTATATGTTTCACTGCAGACTGGTTACTTCTGATGTAGCGTTTTACACTGGAAACCTTCAAGCTCTGAAAGGCCTTAACAACTTAGACCTAAACATGGCTGAAATTTGGGAGCAGAAGAGGTGATAATCCACTGGGAGCAGTCACTTGGCTCTGACAACAGACCGACTTTCTTCTAAGCAGCGTGATGACTGTGAGGTGAATACTTAAGACCCGGAGTCCAAGAAAGGACACTATTGATAGTTGGGGAAACTAGACTCAGAGTGAGCTGCAGGGAGTGATCTTCTCAGTGTCCTTCAGCAAGAAACAAGTGATCAGCTGTCTGTGCAATGGTTTGTTTTTTTTTTCATTCTCTCTGGAAACAGACTCAGGTTTCTTTGGACCAAATCCAAAAGAACACATAGCTGTAACACAGCTGTAGTTGTCTAGAATGCTCTGTATATCTTTATATTAAAAAGATGCTTTGCATTTCTTCTAGTGCAATGAAATTCACATGGTGTCCCACCTTATTTAATGATGGTACAATATAAAAATCTTGCAGTTGGAACTCTGTAGAAAATGTTTTTTCTCTATGAAACTATGCTGTTCTAAAATTTATTTTTTTACAGAACTTTATATAAATAAATGTCTTTTGATTGCTTGCACATAGGATTCAGATTTGTTAGGGAGCAGTCCTGTTTCAGGGGATTTATCACAGCTGGGCTCCAAACTGCCATCTGAAGATAGGATTTTCTAACACCCTGTCAGGATAGACTTGTGGAAAGATCAGCAGTAGCAGTGATGACCTAACAGTGGGCTTCTGGTGGCATCTGAAGGTAGCAGAAGGGCTGGAGTGGGGGTGGTTTCCTGCAGCTCATGGCCACGAGCAGTAGGTGGTCAGGGCTTTGCAACAAAGCCTTGGGTTGAGGCTTGTGAGAGACAGAGGAGGACACGGAAAACAGAGCAGGAAGAATTTTAAAGTTTTTAAGGCTGCTTATGTACGGTTGCACCATTAAGGACGGTGCAACTGAAATTAATTTATTTCAGAGTTTTTAATACTACCTTTTAAGACTGGACGCTGCCAGTACTAAGTAAAAGTGCCTGTGTATTTCACCTCACACCTCTTTACCTAACTGTAGTCCGAGTGCCTAACCCTGTGACGATCATGTACAATGGAATGGTCTACAGTGCATGTGTGTGCCTATGGTTTCCTCAGACAGGCATGCTTATCTGTTAGCATAACAGATGTCACTAATTGTCAGTCAAAATAAAGCTATAAAATCACAGTTGTTTTTAAAGACCAACTTCTTTAATGATACATATCAGTGTTATACTAAGCTTATAAAATAAAGTTGTCTGCATGTAAATACAAGAGAAACATTAAGAAATCAATAGTGATCAGGACAGGGATTTCAATTCCTGTACAAATTTAGAAATGACTCAAGAGAAGATAAATTAACATACATGGCTGTGACAATATGAACATGGGTATAGTCAACATGATCCATTTATTGAAAAAAAAAAAGAGGGCAGATAAAGGATTGAGATATGAACAGGAGATCCAGTCTTAAATGGGATGTGAAAAAAGCAAACACCACACATGGGTACTGAGGCTTTTTTTTTTTTCTCAAGTATTTGATTCTTTGGGCAATTTTGGAACATCAACAATTCCTGTTCTCACAATACAGAAATGGAGGTATTAACAGCCTTACTGCAGGATCTTGGCAGACAGTCATGCCTGTATTTCATGGGGGATGAAGAGGGCTACAGGGTGGGATGGTTGTGAGCACATGAAATACAGGGTTTAACAGCCCATTTAGCAGTAGTGAAACTTTTGGTTTTTCAACTGTGCCTGCCATTTATACTTCATCAAAAGTCACATGAGTAGCTAACTGTATTGTCCCACATGTATTGCTTCACAGCTTTATTTCTGCAGTTACAAGCAATTCAAAACTACTCTGTGTTAGAGGCAAGCCTCTTAAGTTATCAAAGAAGATCTGTCCATCTTACCGCAAGACAAACAGTATTGCACTTCAAGGTTATATTAACTGAGTTACAGAATCTCTTTAAGGACTGAAGCATTACTTACGCACATCCATTGCGCTATGTGTCTGCTTAAAAAGATAAGCAAGAGAAATTAATTTTAAATTAATACTGCAGGGTACTGTGAAGATGACAAAGCATAGGCCCTCTGTGTACTTATATTTCTAATGCTTAAAAGATTCTTCCATTACAAGCTGGTTTAGCACAGCAGTCTACAGAACCAACCGTGCCATTTCACTAACTCAGTGGTCCAAGATCCGAAGATTGCCAGATACAATTTTGTTCTCTAGTAGAGCGCCAGCTGGGATGTCAATTCTGTCACCATGGTTTGCAATGATGATAACTGTTCCCTGGATTTACAGGAGAGAAAAAGACGTTATTAGAAACTTTGTACTACCTGTTGACTTGGGACAAGCAGGAGTAGGGCTGTCTGGAAGACCAGTTCAGTGTCAGCTGTAACACAGCCAGATCATGGATGCATTTAGACTGAACTGTTGCTGCAGAGACTTTTTTATTTCCTCTACAACAAAGGTTTTAAACAAGCAATATTGGAAATGCTGTAATAACTGGCATGCCAGATACTATCAGCTTACAAGGAGACCTGATGCCTTCTTTGAAGCTATATGCTTGCTGTAAGCACTCTTATCATGTCTGCTTACTTTTAGGTGGAAAAATGTTACCCACAGCAGTACGTCATGGCACAGCTCACCATGACAGCTCTAAGGCAAATACACAGAAGGAGCTGGGGATGGATACACCTGTGTGAGCACAAGGTCTGGTAATAACCTAAGCTGGTTCCAGTGCCAGTTGTTGCAGCCCCACCTCACACTGATCAGTGTCAGCAGCTAAAATGGCCTAGGCTAAGAGACATTGGAAGGCCATTTTAAGGAAGACATTGAGAAACTAATTTGCTCAGCTCCAACATTCACTAATAAATCAAGAACCCCAAACTGATAAGAAACAGCCTGTGGCTGTAACGCCAGCCTGGGAGGTGAGGTAGTGCATGTCTCGTAGAGCTAAAGGACAAATATGTTAAGCATTGTTTTTGAACACAGAGTCATGAGGTTCATGGTGTTTTCAAGATTCACAGACAAGCCTCAGCTCTCAGTGAGCCTGGGGAGAAGCAGATGTAGTGGTAACACCTTGCTTTCATCATTCATAAGGGTCACTGCTCAGTCTTGGCCTCTGCACTCCTTGGACAGTGGCTTGATTCCTAGGATAGCTTCCGTGGGCTGTGCTTAAGGGCACTGACTTAGGCAGGACCAATTACCAAGGAGCAGAGATCAGTCACATTTATTCAGGAGCATCCTAATTACACACTCACCTTTAATGAAACATTCTTCCCAAATGTAACATCACCTGAAACCGTGAGATGATCCAGCTCCAGCATATCTGGAATACTTTCAAATCTCCGCAGGTAATCTTGAACCTTTTGGAGAGAGGAAAGAGTAGAGACGACAGTTTTAAATCCATCTGTGGATTAAGACAAGCATGGGCGCTTCTTGAAAACTCCTTTCAGGGATCCTTCTGGAATCTGCATCTTACAAATAGAAGAGTTGCTACTTGGAAAGCAATGCAGTATTGTCATTTCTGTCAGCAATAACGATGAGAAACACTAAGGGGAGCATCCCACCAAAGCTGGGTGAGCTCTAGAGAATGCACACAACCCAATTCACCTGCCGTTTCCTCAGCTGATGGGTAATGGAGCAGCCAACAGCAGTGTGACATCATGCACACATGCTAAGTAGTTTGTATTCTAATAGCCTGGCAGTTCTTTACAAAGAGCAAAAGGGAATGCCAGATGGGCAGAGGTAGATGCTTTAAACCTCACTTTAAACTTCTTTATTCACTTTTAACTTCTTTATTGCTACAGACTGTATTTTTATTGAAAGAGATAAAACCAGAAGTATAATTATGGGAGTTTACCTTTGTGAAAGAACTTCCCAATTTGACAAGAGGCACTGTTGGAAATTCACGCTTCTCGCTCATTGTTAAAGATCCAGCATTAAGGCTATACAAATTAGACATCACAAGCAAGAGATCTGACGTGGTCTTAACAGGCAGAAAACGACTACGAGGTACGTTTATTCCCAGAGAGTTCTCAAAACTCTTAATGGCAGCACCAACTGCAGTCTCCAGCTGGATAACATTCAAGCCTCCATCCAGAGTCTGGAAGAGAAAAACTCCTGTAAACACAACCAGCAGGTAACAGCGTTCAGAACTAGACAAGTGCAAGTCAGAGCTCTGCATTTACCAGCAGGCTGGCTCCTTTTTGAAGGCAACAGTCCATTTAGTTACCTAGAAACAAACAGTTCTTTTTGAGTCCGTTTCCTCTAAAATCGTCCTAGCTGATTACCTTTGGGTTAACAATGATCTCCATGTCAATAGCATTTTTCTCTTGCAGCCTTTTAATCGCAGACAGAGCAATCCACAAATTGTTGGTATTGAATATTTTGAATTTTGACACGGACTTGAATTCATCCACATGTGCTTTTGGGACCTGAGCTATCTCCACCAGCCTCAGCTTGTTTTCGTATTGTGTAAGCGTGCCACCCTGCAAGGGTCAAAGAAGAAGTTTTAAGTCCTGTTCATGAGATGCCAGAGAAACCCTCCCCTCACCCCAGAGACACACTGTTTTGTTGGCATTTAAAGTTCAACCTCAGTGAAAACATCTTGCTTGTGTTCAGCTACCAGGTTACTAATTATAGAGTATGTTTAAAGTACAGTCAGAACTGTCAAACGATCATGTTTCAGCACTCCAAGACAGTTAATTCTTTTAATGAAAGTAAGTTGTTCAGAATCTTTTGCAAGTGACAAAAATCATCTTCAGCAGTATTTCACTACATGACAGAGCAAAATCCAAATTAAATCTAATCTGTATTTGTGGCACTTACTTACTGGAGAAACAAGTGGTACTTCAGTAACCTGAATTGTATTCTTACAGTGTGTTTCTGTTTTTTATAGGACTAAGTCAGAGCTTTCTTAATACCTAATGAATACAGAGAAAAAAACCATGTTTCCTCCCCATCCTGCTATTTAAAAGGACAGAAGCAAAGTAAGTTACATGACAAGTTAGAAATACTTGATACGTGCCATAAACATCTGATAAGTTGTCAAACCTGGACTTCGTACAAAGTCAAGCACTTAGGGCAGGAGCAGAGCAGCAGCCGCACCAAGTTGAGTTGTGCAATGCACACCTTGACAGCTGCAAAGGCAGTTTAGACATCACTTCAGCAGTTTCCAGAGGTGCAACTGCTGTATCCCACCCCTCAGTGCTCTGCTTTTACCATCCCCAAATTTCTCCCGTGCGACAGTTTGGAGAAGGTTGTGACTTGCACCCTGCAGCAATTACTTGTGTTTTCAGTAATCGATCAAGTCCAGGCTGTCCTTGTTCTGCTGTTGCCCACAACCTAGATCAAATTTGTTCCATGAATTAGAACTTCATAAACTTGCTGATTTTGTG